CAGTATCGATATCGATATCGAGCGTGCTTAACGTTATTGTACGGCCAGAGAATGAAAAACTTGGCCAAGAGTCCCGCTGTCTTTGAGATACTGAAGAAGCCGCCGCCGGAGCTCTTGCATTTCTGCAGGGATAGCGAGAGCGATAGCGACTGCGAGGAGAGCTCCACAGATGTTGCAGCAGCTGCTGCCGTACCAGAAAAAGCAGCAGCATCAGCAGCAGCGGCAGAGACAACAGCAGAAGCAGCAGCCGCAGCAGCAGCAGCAGCCGCAGCAGCCGCAGCAGCAGCTGCCGAGGCCGAGGCAGCCGCCAAGCTTAATGTGAATGCGAGCGTGTTTGTGCCGCGCTCGAAAGACGATGAGGATGTGCGCCTGGTCGATCTGAAGCTCCATTTCGAGTCCATGGACGTGCGCAAGCCAGCGGGCGAGCCCAAGCTTCTGCTGCCCTGGAAGGGCTTTCCCAAGCCCCCGCATGTCGAGCGGTCCGGCAAACCGCGCACGTATCCGCTGCCAAAGCTGGCCAGTCCAGGCATCCAGTCCGAGATCCCAGCAGCTCCACACAAAGAGCTGAAGGCGGCTGTCATCCGTGAGACGGAGAGCAAAGCGGAGGAGCCATGCCCACCGACTGCTGTGCCAGAGAAGGAGCCGACGTGCGCGCCGCCTGCCTGCTCGCTGCTGAGCAACCGCAAGAAACCGCTGAAAGATCGAGCCCTGATCAAACAGCCCCTACCCGACGATAAGCGGCGCGAGTACGAGCGCAAGGTGGCCCTGGAGGCCCTCAAGCTGGTGGAGCAGCGGCGCATGCGCGAGCCGTCTGAGCAGCCAGAGGTCATAGTTCATCTGACGCGCTCGCCCGTCGAGTTCACGCCCGAGGAGCGTGCGCGCGTAGATCGACTGCGCATCATCAAGCGGGAGCACATCGAGAGCGTGCTGCGCGAGATGCGCGACGAGCGGGAGCTGCAGCAGCAGAAGGCCCAGGGTATGCCGATCACTAGTCGCTACATATGCCTGAAGCGCAGCACACAGTCGAATGCCCTGCCTGAGCCGCAGCAACCAGAGCAGGCAAAGCAACCAGAGCAGGCAAAGCAACCAGAGCAGGCAAAGCCTCCACAGCAGCAGGCGCCGCAGCCGCCCTTGCCGAGGCGCTATATACCCACAGTGAAGCAGTGGGACGAGCGCTGCAAGGCCAAGGCCCATGCGGCTGCCGCCAGTGCCAACAAGGAGAACAGTACTCTGGCCAAGATTGGCAGCCGGTTCGAGGAGCATGCCAATCCGCAGCGAGCCATGGGGCCGTCCAGTCAGGGCAACATCATGCCCAGCAAGGCAACGCCCCACAGTGGCTCAGCAGCCAAGGATCGTGAGCTGTTCGTGCCGCGCTACTGGCCACCGGCACCTACGTTGGCCAAGGGCGAGTCGCGTCGTGGGAATCTGACCCACGCGCGCAACATAACACGCGCCTTTGCCAACTGCGGTCTGCTGCCCACGCCGTCGGCCGCCTGGGAGCAGGAGAGCGCCAAGCACGAGTACGAATCGCTGCCGAGCGCAGCGCAGAAGTCCGTAAGGCGTTACGGCATGGAGCAGCTGCTGAAGCTGGAGCCGCAGCCCCACAAACTGGAGAAGCCAATCATCGCTGAGCGCCTGGCCAAGCTTGGCTTTCTGTCCGAATAGCAGTTGGAAGCGAGCCACTTTCCGCCCACCCACTGCAGCTCCCTCTCCCACTGTGTTTCGTTCTATGTGTATTCAGTTTGTTTGTTCTTATTCTCGTTCTCGATTCGTTGCATTTCCTCAATGATTTTATATTCAATGCATTTTATATCTTCCATAACGAGCATCAGCAGGAATTGCAACCCAATTATGGTTAATAAAGAAAAGCACATTTGCAGCAAACTAAAACTAGATTGAATGATATACAAAAAAAAAAATAAAATAAAAAATTAGAGCATCATTCACATATAACTTAAATAATTAAACTTAAATGTAAGTTAGTAGTATTAGTTAATAAACAAAATAT